AGGATCGAAGTTTTCCGATTTTACAAATGATGTAATGAGAATTATTTTTACTCTTTCCAGTTTTTTTCTCACTCTCAAGCATAGATATATTGAAAATGGAATTGATCTAATTAAGTGCAGCTTTCACAGATAAATATTGCAATTCTTTGTTCTGTACTAATATCAAGAAACACTGTAATTTTGATATAAGAAAATGCTTCAGTCTATCTATTCCTTCCCAGTAATTTAACGGGGACGAAATAAAACATTAAAGATTGATCTTAAGAACTTCCAAGATTTAATAAGGGATACAACGGGAGGCATAAGAATGTACATCCTGTTCTATTTAAAGATTAAACATTGACCGACCTTCTTCCTTTCCTTTTAAAGTAACTGAATTTTTTATCGTTACAGACCGAAAGCCCCTTTTTTCCTTTATGATGAATTTTAATAAATCAGAATACAGGTATTTATAGTAGTTGTGTAGAATTAAACTAAGAATCTTTTTCGATTGACAAGAACTTTTTAATACACGTATATATTTATAATTTAAAGTTTTTTTTTTTAAAAGCTGTTACCTGTTCTTTTTATTTTCTAAATTAAAAATGCATATTTTATAAGATATTTATCCGTACATTTTTTTCTTTTGATAAAACAAATATGGCCAATTAGGCGAAAATGCATTAAGCAACATTGTGGACTTTCTAAAATATCGTAGGGAATGATTGGTGGTAAGGTGCTTTCGTGTTGCAGTAACGTTACGATTAATCACTCCCAGTGGCCAGCGGGGTACGACCGAATTAAAGCCAATGAGACTTTATGGTGCTTTGCCGGGCAACACTTTGCCGTTTTTCTCTGTTTACCCTTTAGTCTGACTCGTTTTTGTTTTTTACCGGAATTTTCGGAACGACAAACTCCTACACTTACTTCGTTGTAGAAAAACGGCATTTTGCAAGAGTGCGAATAGAATGGAACTATTTTGTATTTAACTGAAATACATTAATCTTTTGATCAAAACTAAATTAAATTTAACTCTGGAAGATTTTTGCACAAAGATTAGAATTTTTGAGATTTTCGTGAAATAAAATAATATTTTAAAACTTATTTAAATCGGAGAAACAAGCATGGCTCCATGTGCATAATTTTAATGTATTTTCTATGAGCTGTAATAAAAAGAAGCTACGCTAATAAAAGGGAGTTAACGAGCATCTTGAGACACTCTTATTCATGTTCCGGCTAATACCAGACATTTATTCTTAATGGTGCTTATCGTCGTGCTCGCGTCTCAGATAAATTAATGCTATATCGATTTCCTTTTGTCTAATAAATGTTATAGGAGCCGAAACCGTAGATAAAAAAAAACGATGAATATAGTTTTTATTTTGTGAATATAAAAGTACGTGAATATAAAAAATATGTAATCATCATTATTATGATAAAAATGTCAGTGGGATTTCGATTATTTTAAGTAATTTATTTTCTGAATTTGATATTGCCACAATGATATTAGTTTACATATGTTTATTAGATGTTTGATATTCAACTATCAATCTACATTTTATTTAAAAAAATATAATTATATTAAGTGGCATTATTATTAAAAATAATTGTTATTTATTCGGAAATAATTATAAAATTTAAAAAGAAACTATTAACGTAATTTTCCAATGTATTTCTTTCTTAAGATATTGATAACTTGTTTAGTATTCACACAGCATAATCGGATGAATAAAAAATTTTTCATATCTATTTGACTGTAGAGATTATTGTGTTGTTGAATGCTTCATCCGTTTGTTTATGTTGCGAAGACTTTGAAATTAGAGTAAGCGTTAATTATTGTCTAATTAAACGTCGCGCGTCGTGCGATAACTTCTAATCACGTTTTGGTAATCATTTTGTAAAATTTCCCACGACGTAACGTTGATTCTATTCGGGATGCGGATGGAGAGTTAAATCAATAAGATAGATGCAAACTAGGTAGCGCGTTACGTAAATGTTATTTCTCAACTCAGCCTGGTATGTTATTCTAATAAACAATAACAAACAATACGAAAAATCTTTTGTAATAAAGACATTTTTTAATCTTTTAAATACCACAAGATAAATTTCATGAAAATAATATAATTCTTATATATGTAAAAATTGTTTCTTAAATGGAAATATAATGTACAACAATATTATTTAACGTAATAGAAATTTGATTGAAATATCATGAAATAAAATTCTATTATTCATATCTTCATATAATATTAAATTTGTTATGTTAATACATTAATGTAACATTTAATATAAAACAGTCTCAATATTTTATTTTTATTTCTAATTTTATATTTTTGGAATCAAAATAAAATAAAACATTTAAATTACATAATTTTAATAAATTTATCCCGATAATTTATTTTCTCATTTATTTTATTAAGAAAATATTTAATTATAAAACTTTTTTATGAAAAAAGGAGATAGCGAAGCATTGTATAAGAATAAACATTACTATGGATAAGATAGAATAAATATTGTTCAAAATAAATGAAGACGTGCCTCACTTTGATAAACTATAATCAAATACACCAATCGCTATAGCTACGATCTGCGACCTCTTGCATTTTGAGTTTGGGAGAGAACTCGTGAGGTACATGCTGAATTAATAATAGTCCAATTAATAACCCCTCGAAACCCGTGACGTGGTCTCCAATTAATTGACGATAACGTACACCCCCTTCGAGAATATCGAACGTCGAGATTGCTACCAATTATGAAGCGTACATCTTTATTGATTACAAGGATAACGGAAAAAACGTGTCACTTCGCGTGCAGTTTATATTGAATCACTTGATAATGATCAGTCCATTCGTTCAATCTCTGTGATTCAATAAAATATTAGAGAATATAATTTTCAATGCTAGCTTTGATAATTAATTTTCTTAAGTATATAAGTGTAGATTGTACTCTTCACGAAAAATGTATTATATTGTGCTATTAAATTAATTGAAATTGAGAGAATTTTTCCCTTTTCGACAAAATTAATCCACGCGATTAAGACTTCCTATTGTAGGCTGTTATAAGGGCGCAAATATAAAAATTCGTTGCCCGGCAACCCGGGGAACAAAGGGTTAATTATTTTGTGGCGTGACGTAAATTTGCATTTTTTTCGTTTCATGTACGTCTGTGCTCTATGTACATAAAATACATTCGCAAGTTCTTTTTATTTTCACCAAATGTAAAAAATGTTATTTATACCTCACTGTTCTTTTTAACGACTGGATTGTTCGTATTTTAGCAAATTTTAGATATCGCTTACGTGTATCTATAGCAGAGGATTCGAATTTCGAAATTCTAAACGGCGGAATTATATAATGATTTTAGTGGCCACACTAATTACATCGATAATTGCTAGTCAATGACACGATAGATTTGTCGATTTATAAACAAAGATTCCATTTTGCGTTCTACCTCTTTTGTACACTTTTGCTTTTCCGTTGACTTTTCCAGTATTTGATAACGATGTCAGCAATTAGCAGTGATTGGCATCTGCATGATGTTCGATGCTATCGTCAAAACTTTTATGACCCGGAGAAATCAGCAATTGCAATTTGAATTAAAGAGGATTTGTAGATCTAATTGAAAAGGCAATCACAGTGAGTTGCCATCTTTTAGAGAAATAGCTCGAATTCGCGAGCAGCACAATGCACAAATAATATTATCGAAGTTGCTCCATTAAAAAAGCAAACTAATTCCGTGAATGACAAATCTGTTTTTGCAACGAAGTCGTATAAAAAAACCGATAATTTGTTCCTTTTTTCTTCTTTGCATAAAGGAAATTGCGCTAATAGAGCGGAACCTACCAGAATACTTAATCTAACTGAAAAACATACACACTCATACACGTGCGACTAGAAATAATTCATTTCTAGCCGCGGAGTGAAATTGATTATATCACTCCATATAAGCACAAGCAGAAATACGGAGCGTTTCTGGCGTACATAATAAATGCGTTTAAACTGTTTTCTTTCCAAATTGTTGCTATTTCATGCCATTTCGTTTTATCCTTTTGGTACCACTTTTTTGAAAATGGCATTTTTGAAAAAGCACCCCATGGTGCAAATGGAGAAGAGGAGTACCGCTCAAATAAAGTGTCCACCTGTGTTTTGTCTGCGTAATAACTTTTTCGTCGGGAGGTT